AATGTGCCCAGAGGGTTTTCAGGTGCTTCATCAACCGCTATCCCAGAAAAGGGGCGGGGGAGTGGCCATTGTTATCCGGCAGTCTTTAGTTCCTCGTAGGATCCCTGCTCCGGAGTTTGTTGGGTGTGAGTCCTTGCTGGTGAAGTTGGACCTTGCGGGTCAAGTGGGCTTGTTCTTAACGAACCTGCCTCTCAACAGCGTGAAGACAGCCCTCCCCTCGCTCCTCGAGTCAGTAGCTGAGCTGGCAGTTGAGTTCCCCAGACGTATGATACTGGGGGACTTCAATCTGCCTTCACTCGGTGAGCACTCTGATGGAGCACAGGAGTTCATGGCTTCCATGACAGCCATGGGCTTGACCCAAGTAATTCGGGGCCCGACTCACTTAGCGGGTCATACGCTCGACCTCGTATTTCTCTCAGAGCAGTAGAGTTGTGATCTTGGTTTGAGGGGTAGTGAGATCTTGCCCCTGTCATGGTCGGACCACTTCCTAAATGCTCCTGGGAGGAGCATTTATATAAAAATAAAAAACTTTAAACAATGAAATCCATGGCAATCTCTCTCCATGATCCTGAAAGATCAGCCACTGGCTTTTGTAATGTAATGTCCAAAACTGGATACAGTATTCCAAGTGTGGTCTTGCTTTATAAAGTGGTATTAATATTTAATGTGAATTTGATTCTATGCGTCTGTGCCCACCTAACTGCAAAACGCTCCTTTTCCCATATTGCCCATCTCTGTTCAGTTTCAGTTAACTTCCTAGAGGTGTGTGGACATGGTTGTAATTTGTCTTCTTCACTCTTTTGGATAAAACAGCACCAACTGCCACATCACTGGCATCAGCCTGGATTACAACTGGTTTCTCTGGGTCTGGGTGTTTTAATACAGGTTCAACTGAAAAGAGGTTTTTTTTCAGTTTTTCAAATACTGCTTGGTAGTCCATAGTCCAACTCAGCAGTTTACAAAGTCAGCATATTGTCCCCAGCAATCTAAGTCCTCCTTTCACCGACCTGAGAAAGTTTAAAAGACTGAATGAACTATGAGCAAGTGAGATTGAACTCAGCTTTTCCTCCATTTTGGAACTGGTTTTATTTTTTCTTTTTCATTCAGAACTTTTCTGCGTGCACAAGAGGTGGGTCACCCGCAATGTTCATCAGGAGAGACTGGAGGGGTCTCTGCCCTTTCTGCTTCCCTCCTTCAATGTCAGGCTGAATAATTTGAATAGGGTACCTGTATGTATTGAATTCAAGAAATAAAAAAAAATAAATGCATAAAAATCATTTCCCTGATTGTGGCTTCCCTGCAAGTGTCCCATCTTCTTCCACTTAAGACTGGAGTTCGCAACAATCGCAAGACACAAGCTGTGTTTCCTATTCCCCCTTCCCACCCTGTTGGGTCTTACCGTGTAACGATGTGGCCAGCCATCAATTCCTTTGCCTGCTTTGGTCCATTTGCAGAAAACAGAGGCCTAAAGTTGTGAGAAATAAATGAGATCTTGTGCTATTTGTCAGCCTCTGCTTTGCTGCTGCTTCAGCTGCCATTGAAACGGGGAGGGGGGGCATGGTATTTGGGAGGGATTTACTAATTGTGCTGGAGGAAGGTTCTGGATTTCTGCTGCCTGTCGGACTGCGCATGCGGAGGTTCCCGCCAAGGCCAACGACACCGACATTCCATCTTGGTGGTACCTTTCGAAGTTATCTCACACCTGACAATTGGGAGAATTATGATTGGACTGCAACTGGGATGCCAAGGGGTCAGGAATGGGTTATTTTATATATCACTCGCTTTTGTGCCTAAATAATCAGTCTTCGCTTTGCTATGCTTCTGATC